TAAGACAGTTGGTTTAATTACTATTGGAAAATGCTTGTCATTCCTCTGTAGCATCTGGTCCCCACTGGACCCTCATCATTTCCTTCACCTGCCTTCCCCCACCGACCAAACTGTGCAGCTCTGCAACTGCATCCTGGCCCATCCTCACCCTTCTGCCCCCAACCCTCACCTACTTGTACCCCCAATATGTTTTTCGCAATAAAAAAAATATTTTAAAAAATGTATATAGTCCTAAGACTTCTTAATATTATCTCTTGCTTAAAAATAAAAATGTCTTTAACAATCCCCCCCCCAAATTATACCTTTATAGAACTCTAATTTTATAATAGTATAATGGAACTGTGAAATGGAATACTATGAAAATTACATGTGGACATATAACTGAAAATAATATTTAAAAATCAACATGCTGAACAAATAAATTTGAAATTTATCATACAAAGTGGTGATAAATATTTCTGAATATTTCTGTTCTCAAGACTGTTCCTATCAGTCCTCAATACTCTTCTCCAGCACCAAAGCTCAAAGGCATCAATTCTCCTTCTATCCGCCTTGGTCATTGTCCAACTCTCTGATGCATAACAAGTGATAGCAAAGACCATGTCCTGTATCAGACGCAACTCAGTCTCTAAAGAGACACCATTGCTCTTTAGTACTTTGGAGAGGTCCCTAACAGCAGCTTTTCCCACGGCAATACGTCTTCTAATTTCCTGGCTGTTGGTGCTGAGTGTTGATTGTGGAGTCAAGCAAACTAAAGCTGTGAACAATCTCAATCTCTTCACCATCCATCCTGATGCTGCCAACTGGTCCAGCGGTGAGAGTCTTTGTCTTCTTGATATTGAACCTCAATCCATATTGCAGGCTGCAGTCCTTGACCCTCTACAGCAAGTGCTTCAGGTCCTCCTCAGTTTCAGCAAGCAGGGTTGTGTCATCTGCATAATGCAGATTGTTGATAGATCTTCCAACAATCCTGATGCCACACTTCTCCTCATGGAGTCCAACTTCCCAGATAATCTGTTCTGCATACAGGTTGAAAAGGTATGGAGATAGGATGCATTCCTGGCGTATGCCCTTCCCAATTTTGAACCACGCAGTGTTTCCTTGCTCTGTTCTGACGACTGCCTCTTGGTCCAAATATAGGTTTCTCAATACCAAGATCAAGTGTTCTGGTATTCCCATTCTTCTCAGAGTCAGCCACAGTTTATTATGATCTACACAGTCAAACGCTGTTGCAAAACCAATTAAGCACAGATAGACATTCCTCTGGTATCCCCTGCTTTTGGCTAACATTAGCTACAATATCACTAGTACCACAACCCCTTCTAAACCCATCCTGGACTTCTGGCTGTTCTCTGCTAATGTGCTCTTCCAATTGGTTTTGGACAAGCTTCAGTACAATCTTGCTTGCATGTGAAATTAATGATACTGTTCTGTAGTTTCCACACTCAGTTGGGTCACCTTTCTTTGGGATGGGAACAAATATAGATCTCTTCCAGTCAATTGGCCAGGTGGTTGTTCTCCAGATTTCTTGGCACAACTTGGTGAGCACATCCAGGGCACCATCTGTTAGCTAAATTATGTCAATTGGTATACCATCTATTCCTAGGGTCTTATATTTTGCTATGTACTTCAAAGCAGCTTGAACTTCTTCATCACTATAGCCTCTTGCTCATATGTTGTTTCATTAAATTCTTCTGTGTCTGCCAATTATTTTCGATACAGTGACTCAGTATATTCTTTCCATCTTCTTTTGGAATGTATGTATAGTGCTTTCTCAAAAAGTTGCAACTGGAAATACCATTTGACTACTGGGAACATACCCTGAAGAAATCGCAACTGCCACCCAACTAGATATATGCCCACTCATGTTTAGTGCCGCTTTTTCACAACAGCAAAAATTTGGAAACAACCAAAGTGCCCGTTAGGAAGCAAATCGATAAAGGAACTTTGGTACATTCACACAATGGAATACTATGCAACATTGAAAAACAAGGACCTCATGTAGGGTCATTCAAAATGGGTGACCCTGGAGGACATTATGCTGAGTGAAATATCTCAGTCACAAAAGGACAAATACTGCATAATGCCACTGGTGTAAAAAAGGACTGACCCCAGGGTTGAGGAGAGACTGAGAAAGAGGGGATAAATAATGTATACTGCATTGAAACATATGAGGGAAAGAACTGTTTAAAAGGGTTATTTGATTAGGCATTATTGCCAAGACAGGAGTCCAGAATGAAGGCTGCATAGTGGAGTGGACTTAGGTGGAGGGAATGTGAAAGAATTTTTCTTTTACTTTTCAAAGAGAAGGGCAAATTGGTGGGGGAAGGGGTGGGTAGGAAGAAAGGTGAAGCAATGAATGAATGGAAATCCAAAATATCTGTAAATTTTTATTAAAATAAAATAATAATAAAAAGGGGAAAATTGTTAAAAAAATACTGTGCTGTTACTTTTTGAACATGCGGGACAGGTATGAAATTTTTACTTGGAAGCTATAATTTTAGGAAAAATTATCTACAGTATTCCACACATGTATGGTGAATCATTAAGCTATTCAGAATAATTTGTTTGTATGTAAAACCCTAAAGGCTGCAAATGTAAAATGTTAAATTATTAAAAAGAAACTCCCAAGGGAGCTCTGGTTGTCAAGTGCTAAGAAGCTGTGTTGCAATCCTAAAGGCATTTGGTTTGAATTCATTCACCAGATGCTCTGCAGGCGAAGGATGGGCAATCTTTTACTCTGTGATTAACCGCCACTGAGAACATCCCAGGGGGTCACCTAGGTAATCAATGGAACACAAGAACAACAATATATGAAAATAGGGATATTCTAATAACTCTATAGCATTGAAGATGGGCCTGGGCCCATTTGAGTAATGTTTTATTAAAAAAAATATTTAAAAATATCCCCACTTATAACCAACACTGTGCACACCTATATTATGCTCTATCAATATCAGGAGTTACTGCCAATCAAAAGAGACTTGTTCATAAACAAGTAGAAAGTATTTATTAAGAAGTGATCAAATGTTCACCATAAAAGTATAGCTGCTCTTAACTTTTTATCTGGTCCACACTCCTAAGGAATAGAAAACATTCCCATCGTTATACTTATTCATCACGGCAATAATTTCCAGCATAGGCCAGAGGAAGTGGGATGTACTTTCCCCCTCATGACAAGTTTAGAAGTTTGATAGGGTTATAAATGCTGAAGTATAATTAGATAGACTTTTATAAATTTGGGTTCGGGTCGTCAAGATCAAGAACAGGGCACGAAGCTTGAACAAAGTTCTAATTCTCATGCTCTTCCACTTGGGTTTTCAGATTGGCCATGCCATTTTTCAACAAATCAGTACCTTCTGTTATTTTGCTGTAGCCAAGAGAGTAAATGAACAGGAGGAGAATAGCATTCTGGCTTATAAGTCAAAGAAAGCATTAGGGAGGCAGGTGTGGGGGCATGAGTTCAGCAGCTATTATTTAGACTTGATGTAGAATTTAAAGACTGGACTGGGGAAAACAAAACAAAACAAAAGCAAAAAAACAAAACAAAAAAACCCCCACACAAACCAAAAAAAAAACCCAAACTCAAAAAACTATGCTGGCAAAGGGAAAAAGTTGGAAAGTTCTCAACTACAGATATGGTCTTTGGGTACATTCATTAATGTTCTCTATAAGAGAAGCTTCCGTGGCAAGCTCTGGTGGCCTAGTGGCAGGGTACTGCAATCCCAGAGTTGCACGGTTCAAATCAACCAGATGCTCTGCGGGAGAAGGAGGAACAATCTCCTCCTGTACCAGTGAGATCTGATAGTACACACACTCTCTAAAATAAAAATTAAAAAGAAAAAAAATTAGCTTTCTCAAAGTAATAATGATAGACATGTACAGGTAGGAGCTATGGGGGGGGCGGAGGATGGAGATATCATATGTAGTATAAAATGTACGTGCAGTAATAAACTATCCTAAACAAAAAATATCTTTTCATGTGTTAGAGAAAAGGAGGACAACATCATTACCGAATAGCTGCTATGCCATGTCCGATTTCATGTACAACACCACTTATGAGGACTGCAGCGAAGAAATAGGTCAACTGGTTGACAGGCAAATTTATACCAGGAACCTGTTCAGAAACACAACAATGAACACACACTTGAAGACTAATAGATCATAATGTTCAGTCATTAGTCAATTATGTTTGAAACATAAACTTCTCAAGTCAACGTTCTATCAAGTAAGGGTTATTGAAAGATAAAGGTTCATTTCTCCACTTCTAAGAAAATATAAAGTGAAAACAATTGTCAGTTATGGTCAGTGAAGCAGCTTCTCTTTAATGAGCACAGAACTCATGTAGTCTAAATGGTAAACACCAGATTAAAATGCTGAAACTTGCTTTGTAAAGTTCTGAAGAACCCATTAGAAATGGGTTTCCAGAGGCTATAGATTGTTATGGAGAAGAGTTCTCATCTTTTCAACATAGTCATCTGTACATTTGAGTCCAGAACAAACAAGCCTTTGAGTCAGCAGTGAAACTTGCTAATGATTGCGATACCAGAGCTCCCCCTAGTGCCTGTAAGTTTTTAAAATTTTACTTTTTATAAGTTTTTTAAAAATTTTCATTAAAGTTTATAGACTCTTAGGGTTTCCAGTCATTCATTGTTGCACTTTTCCCCTTACCCATCCCCTCTCCCCCAATTCACTTTTCTGTGTGAAAAGAAAAACTCCATTATGCAATCCGCCAGTCCCCAACGTCGTCAACTATGCAGCCATCACTCTGTGCTTCCGTAAGTTTTGTACAGCAGAAATCCAGAACCAGAAACCTTGGGTTTGTAGTAAAACGCATCAATGATTACACTACCAAAGCTCCCCTCTAGTGCCTATAAATTTTGTGGAGAGGTAACATTTACAAACAAGGTAGTAAATGTGACTGCATCTACTCCCAAAAAAGCCAATCCTTAATCCGGGGAAACTTAATTTTATTAAAATCTCCAATTTTAATGGAAATGTGCAAATGTGAAAATATGCAACTTTTTCATCTTTAGTAAAACGGAACTTTCCCTTCATTTTAAAAAACCATACTAAAAAATTCCCAATTGTTGACTGGACTCCATTTTTACAGCAAACACAAAGGAGGGTGTTAGAGGGCGCTCTGTTACTTTCTCAACACGCATGCACTATGGGCGGGACATCGGAAGTGGGATACCGGAAGTTCTTCAGATGAAACCAACTTTTTCTGGATCTCTGAGACGCAGCGTGCTGTGTCTCCTAAGATAAGTGGTTTTTATCTAGTAGGCGTTCTCAGCCCTCTTTCCATAAAGATTTATCACCTCAGAAAGCAATCCAGATCTCAGATAGATGGATGGATCTCCGATACTCCAGTGAGTATTTTGGTTTTGCTTCTTGGGCGGCCATTGCTTTTCATTGTCTTTGAAACATTCCGGCTTAGAGGGGCTCCATCTTGTACGTGCAGCAACAAGATGTGGATGCCAGGGCGTGACAGTGACACTGGGGGCAGTTGGGCAAATGAGGCTGCTTTGTAACTCAACATGGGATCACTCTTTTTTCCCCCCCTTTTAACATTCATAAGTCATTTAAAGATTGCTTGGTGGCAAGAAGGTACAGGGCAATCCTGCACTCATTCGAATTTACCCGATGTTCCGCAGGAGCAGTCTCCTTTTTTTTTTAAAGTTTGTTTTTTTTGTGTGTGTGTGTACTGTTCAAATCACATCTGACTGGTACAGGAGGAGATTGGTCCTCCTTCTCCGGTAGAGCATCTGGTCCTTCCTCCTTTGTGATTAACTCCCTCAGCACTCTAGTGGAAGAGTCTAGGGTGCTGCACTTGTAACCAAAAGGTCATTTGTTCAGTGGTTCAATCTCCTATTAAAATACACAATCCTAGAAATGCTATGGACTTCAGGGCAGGAAGTTTGAGCACTACATTTCACAAAATACCCTTTCTTTAACCTTTTATTTTACTTTTTAAATATATACATATACAAAATTGTATGTATGAAAATATACTATTACTCATGGTTTCTGGCATTAGTTTCATTGTGTTTCCTCATTCTGTGCTCATACCAATCTCACTGCATTCGCAATGAAAGTACCAATGAATTAGGCCTCCAGACATGGATAATAATTATATATAGAAATATATTAAAATATTATATATATTTTAGTATAGAAAATATTACATAAAATATAACATATACTTTATATATAATATTTCATATAAATATATATCTATATTATATGGATAATTTTTATTTTCACTTTTAGGTTCTTTTATGACTTCAACTTTAATTTTAGTTCACTTGGAGTCTCTGTGCAGAACAGAGGGCTGTAACTTGGTAATAAGCCTCCTTTAGTAGCAATGCGAAGTTTTAAACAATGCTCCTTAAATAGACTACATTCTAAATTCTATTCATTCCAAATGTATTTTGACTGGTTATAAAACCATTTTTCATTTCATCATTTTAAATACATATATGGTATGTCAGTAAGTGATATTAGTATTCATTTAATTGATCTTCAGATATTAGATATTTTGGGTTGATTCCAAGTGTTCATAATGTTAGGACTAAGAGTTTGATGCATACATACTATTTTTTGTATAATTCCTGACACTAGACAGCTACATATGGAAAGTCAGAGCCACACGGTGTAGCCAAAACAAAGTAAGAACACCTAAAACAAGTTGTTCTTATTTTCTATTGGTTTATGTGCTCACTTGGACAGATCTGTCAGGTATGGGTAGGTTTAGTTGTAATCCTAACTGGCGTGGCTCTTCTGCGGGGCTTCTGGGTGGATTAGAACCAGCAACCGTTCAGTTACCAGTTACAAGCAGAATGCATGTCTTACTTTCTAGACACTTCTCTGGTACTCATTACTTTAAATCCTCTTCCATCTCAACACTACTAATTAGCTCCTCTTTTTAGAAACATCAATGCCCCCTTTTGTACATATCTGCAACATTTCCATGTTGCCCAGAACACTCCTACATTTCCAGAGGCCTGTGTTTTTAGCTTAATTAATATCCTTTTTTCTGTTCATTGTAAATTTATGTAAACACTCAACTGCTGCTGTCAAGCTGACTGCAAGGTTGTCAGTCTTAATAGGAGACTGTTTATCAGTGTACCAAAGAGCAGTCCACTTGCTACCAGAGCTCCTTTACTGAGGCACAGCTTTCTTCATAAAAACTTTTTTTTCGGAGTTACATGAATAAACTGAGAAGCAAACTCTATTTCACAAAACAAGAAATACTGTGTCACCCTAAGCCTAAAAGGAATACAGGCCAATGAATTTATTTGATCCAAACCTGCATCTTTTCTTTATATTCGCTTTCTTGATGAACAATAACTAGTAATGTAACATGAGAGTTGTCATAAACTCTTCATTCCAGCCTCCCATTCAATTAATCACCAAGGTTTGAGAATGCTACTCCAACAGCTTTATCCTCTTCATTCTCCTTACTATCAATTTAGTTTGTTGGTGTTATGTACCATTGAGTTGGAAACGACCCATACCTGACCTTCCAGTGGGTTTTTACAGTCAATAAATCGCACAGAAAGAAACTGCTTATCCTTCTCCTGTGGTGCAGCTGGTGGATTAGAACTGTGGGCCTTTGGGATCGCAGCACAGTTTCTTACTATGCCACAAGACATCTTTACAATTTCTAACATGATGAACTCCTCCAACTGCCTTCTTCCCATGTTTGCGCTCAGATTTCTGATAGTGTAGTTTGGGGTATGTTGTGACACTAACCAAAATGCAGAGTGTCTCCATGAATTTGAACCCACCAGTGGCCCCTTAAGAAAGATAGTTAAAAATCTCCTCCTAAGACTGACATCATTAGAAATGTGGTACAGGGTCATTATGAGCCAGTGAGTGTCTGTTTGCGTGTTTGCACTAATCCTACTTAGGTTCATTTTATATAAATTGGTAAAGGAAAAACTTAGAATGACCTTTACAACTGTGATTGTACGACCTAATCCCATATTTCCCTGCAATGTTTTATTTTCTTGTTGCCACTCCTAAGTCCTCCTACTATCGCATTCCTCAAATACAAGTAAAAATTACTTATATAAAGTACCTAAAATGTGAACAGTAAGTTCAAAAGACAGGAATGGGTTTTTTAAAAAGATAGGAATGAGGGAGCTCTGCACTGCAATCCCAGAAATACAGTTCAAATCCACCAGATGCTCTGCTGGAGAAGGAGGGGCAACATCCTCCTGTACCACCAGTCAGATCCAATTTGACGGTACAAATACACACACACACACACACACACACACACACACACACACAAGAAAATACTAAAATTAAGAAAAAAACAAAACAAAAAAAGGAAACCCAACAACACAGGAATGGCTAGAACAGGATGAATGGGAAGGAGAATCATAGGGAGGATATGGGAAGGATATTATAATGTAGGATTGTAACTAATGTCATAAAATGTGTATCAGTGATGGAATGGAAAACCAATTTGCTCTGTAAATTTTCACTTAAATCACCATAAAAATACTGCTAGGACAGCTGGATTTCTACAAGGAAAAAAAGGTAAATGGCTCATAACTGATATCAGATATAAAAATAGAAACTAATTTTAAAAAATGGATCAGTAACTCAAATGAAAGTACTGAAACCATAAAACTCTAAAAAGAAAAGACAAGGGGTAAAGCTTCACAACATTATTTTAGGCAGTAGATCTTTAGCTAAGACATCAAAAGAACAAGAGACAAAATCGATAAATAATGTTGTATATCAAAAGATGTGGTCAACAAAATGAAACTATGTACACTGGGAGAAAATTTGGGTATATTGATTTGAGTAGATTGGACAGATAAGATTGTACTATACAGACAACACCCCGAACATGACTACTCTATTTAAAAGAACATGCATGAGTATCCAAAGGGGGGAGGGAGGGTGAAGCAGAGGGGTGAGGAGGGGAGTGGATGGGTGCTTGCAGAATTTGATGAGTGGAGGGGTGGGTAAAGGAAATGGGAAAGATCCTGTGTGAAAACAATGTATATGAACTTTAAGAAAGAAAAAAATATTAATGTTTATTTTATTCTGGCTTATTTATAAACATTTAATTTTTTTTAAATGAAGCAAATCCAT